AGCCATTTTCTCCAGGGGAACTGATGTCTGGTGTAATTCTGGGAGATCTCCAGGTCCCACCTGGAGTTTGGCAGCCCTAACACTGTTATGTGTCATTTTGCATTTTCACACACACTGAATAACATACTTTCAGTCCACTTTGCAAATGGATTTTACTGTGGGAAATGGCAAAATCCACTTGCAAACAGTCGCTGAAGTGGATTGAAACTGCATTCTTTAGCATGTGTGGAAGCGCCAAGTTGTGTTGGTCCTAATACGGGTTTTACATGGATGGTGTTTTTGGCTTAGATATTAGACAGCTACATTTAGCTTTCCTTTCTGAGTGTTGCCAGCCTCACGTGGAGAATGCTGTCTGCCAGGCTGGTATAGTGGTTAGTGTGTTGGGCTAGGAGCTGGGAGACTCAGGTTCGAATTCCCAGTCTGCCATGTTCTTGTTGTTTCAAGGATAATAGGAAGGGGGAAACAATGTTGTAAGCTGCTTTGGGTCCCCATGGGAAGAAAAGCGTGAAATAAAGAAACGCACAAACATGCACGTGAAGGGGCTACAAAGCCTGAATGACACCAGCTTGGTCTCTAAAACTGGCAGTCTTTACAGACTTTCCCCCTATAATCATAACGGCTAGCAATTACTTAAAATTGAGAGCTCACTGATACATCATGAAGAGTTTGTGGATAAGAGGGTGAGGCCGCAAAGGAGACAGGAATATAAAGCCAACCTTTCTGGCTACATTCCTCTTCCACTCCTCCCAAACTGAGCTGCAAATATTTGCTGAAGAAGTGAGCAGTAACTCACAAAAGCTCATGCCCTGCCATAAATTTTAAGGTGCTACTGGACTCATTTATTAGCTGGGGTCACCCCTTTTTCAACAGACTTGTACAGATGGGGTGTTCCCACAATTCCTGTGAACCTAAGAGATGATACAAGTAGGGATGCCAGCCTCCAGGTGGGACCTGGGGGCCCCCACAATAACAGCTCATCTCCAGACTAGTGAGATCAGTTCCTCTGGAGAAAATGGATGCTTCGGAGGGTGGACTCTGTGGCACTGTACCCCACTGAGGTCCTCCCCAGGCTCCACCCCCAAATCTCCAGGAGTTCCCCAACCTGGATCTGGCAGCCCTGCCCTCCATCCCCTGCTGGTGACCAGGGGAGACCTGGCAACCCTACAACACCAGACTTTCTGTTGCCAATTGATATTGTTAAAGATGAATTCAACTCCATAAGGTGTTTTATATGCCACTAATGTGAAGCTCTCAGTTTAAAGAACTGTTCCTAATGTGGGGCAGAAAGAAAGTCATTTTAAATAGAGATCTTTAAACAGAAATCTTATTTGAGTTAATAATGTCAGAAACTGAAAACAGGTTCCACTTATTAAGAAATAACATCTGATCTGTCACTGAACTTCTTTCAATGTACCCAAAAGAAGAGGATTGTGAATGCAATGGGATATTGTGTACCGTTCTGGTTACTGCACCTCAAAAAAGGTATAGCGTTGGGAAAAGTGCAGAAAAGGGCAACTAAAATGATTAAGGGGATGGAACATCTTCCCTCTGAAGAAAGGTTAAAGAGGTTAGGGCTCTTTAGCTTGGAGAAACGACGGTTGAGGGGTGACATGACAGAGGTTTACGAAGTGAAGCATGGGACAGAGAAGGTAGAGAACAAAGTACTTTTCTTCCTTTCTCACAATACAAGAACTCCTGGGCACTCAATGAAATTAATGTGCACTAGGCTTAGAACAGATAAAAGTAAGTACTTATTCACCCAAAGAGTCATTAACACATGGAATTCACTGCCACAGGAAGCGGTGGTGGCTACAAGCATAGACAGCTTCAAGAGAGGGTTGGATAAACATATGAAGAAAAGGTCCATAAGTGGCAATTAGCCACCCACAACATATAGATGGAACGCTGTCTAGGGCGGTGGTGCTCTGTTTTCTTGGTGCTTGGGGAAAAACAGTGGGAGGGCCTCTGGAGTTCTGGACTAAATAGTCTATCGGCCTGATCCAGCATGGCTTCTTTTATATTTATTTATTTATTTGTTCAACTTTATATCCCGCTCGAATCCCTTATCCAGGGGTCTCTGAGCGGCTTACACGGTGCTAGTCACCATTTTATTGTCTTCTAACTAGGGGCACATGTGTTGTGGGGTGGATGATGACACCCCCCCCCCGATTATACACAAAAAGTTTTGTGTTACTGTACATACCTGTAGCCCTGACCTGGATAGCGCAGGCTAGGTCTTGGAAGCTAAGCAGGGTTGGCCCTAGTCAGTATTTAGAAGGGAGGCTACCAAGGAATACCAGGGCCATGGCACAGAGGCAGGCAATGGCAAACCACCTCTGAATGTCTCTTGCCTTGAAAACCCCAGAGGGTCGCCATAAGTCAGTTTTACTTGACGGCAAATCCCCCTCCCAACACCCTGTAACTTGCATATGAATGTAAACCAACCCCCTATTTTTCTTGAGGGTATTTTTGCAGGGGGGGAAACAACACTAGTATTTCCTTCAGGTAAATAGGGTCATTTCTTGCTTTGTTAGCATAACTTTTCTTCCTCTTGGCCATTCTGTCTCAGTCACTGAACTGCCTGAGCAAAGGCTTTTTTCCAAGTTATTATATTTTTACCCTTTTCAATTAACCCCCCCCCAAACTATCCTGAAAGCTGAGATTTCAGAATGGTGAGAACTAAAAACTTATTTCCACAAGGGAGAAAGGAGGCTAATAAACATTTTAAATAAATAATTTCAGTGCAATGTCCATCCTGCTATTTGGCTATGACAAAGACTTTTTTGCTTCCGGGATCTTCATCATGGATACACATTGAGAAGTGCTATACTGGTCCTGCGCTATAGCGCTCAACTTAGAATGCTCCCCCCCCAAAAAAGGTCAAGGAAGATCACGTGGCAAAAAAGGGCAGGGGAAAAGGCGCAGCACTGTTTGAAATGGCCAGATTGCTTGAGAAATGGCTCATTAACAGAATGAAATTTGCTGTATGAAACCTCTGTCCCTGTATCACTTTACTCAGAGCTGGGCCAACAACGGATGACATCCAGTTTAGAACGGTAATGTGAAAGGGCCCACTGTTTCCATGGCAGCTTCCACCACAGGGTTGCCAGCTCCAGTTCAAGAAATACCTGGAGGTTTTGGAGGCGGAGCCTGAGGAGGGCAGGGTTTGGGGAGGGACTTCATCAATTGGGTATAATGTTGTAGAGCCCACCTTCCAAAAGTGGCAGTTTCCTCTACGTGAACTGATCTCTGTTGCCTGGAGACCAGTGAAAATCCCAGCCAACACCTGGAGGTTGGCAACCCCTATTTTTGTCTCTCATGCCTTAATGTATTTTTAAAAAATTACTCTTGGCCCCACATATTTTTAAAACATTACTCTTGGCTTCTTCTCCGTGTGTGTGGCTCTGCATCCTGTGGTGTCCATTTGGTGGTCACACCAGCTACCCTGTGTCAGAATTCCAAAGGTGCCCACAAAAAGGTCAGGGACCCCTGATCTAAATCAATTTGCAAGCAAGGTTGTCCACTTTTATCCAGCTCTAACTAAGGCAGCTCTTGTCCCTGCTCCTTTAACAGAAGTTTCCTCTGCTCCTTGAAAACTGTATGTATATTCAGGAGTGGGTTTATAGTTTTAAAATAATAATTTATTTTTAAATTTAATATGGTATGCTTGAGTCCTTAATCACATTAGATCTATTTAATATCGTTAAAAATGTGCCTCTTCTGCAAAAACCAACCAGCCTGATTTGAGGTTTAGTGCAAAGTGGTTTCCTATTCTTACCTTCTTAGAAGCAGAACAATACATACCACCCTCTTGGAAGAAATATACTGATTGGCTTTGAAGGAAGTTGAAAAGTAGACTTTGTCTTAGCAGGGACATGAGGTTATATCCTATTACAGATAAGTTTAAACTATAATAGGTCAATAATCTACATAATGAAAAGTAGTGTTAAAAGGTATGCCAAAGCTTAATATTTACCTGATTTATTGCTAAAAAAGTTTCTCCTCTGAAATATAATTATGTCCAGTACTATATTGAGATTAGTTAAATGTTGAATATATATTTGTTCTTGATGATTGATGTATAGATTATGTTATTAGTACTAGCTAATTTTTGTTAAAATTGAAGTGGTTTTATCTTACTTTAACAGTTGTATGTATTTTTAATACTTCAATAAAAAAAAAATGTTGAAAATTAAAAAAAGCAAACTAATGGCAAAAAAAAAAAATGTGCCTCTTTGGGGCTGTGAGGAGAGTAGAGAGGAGCTCAACGTTTTATTCAACAGGGCTTACTTCTCCCAGCGAAGGGCTCTAAGGAGAGCGCAGTCCGCTAACCTCAATAGAAGGTAACTCGATTTAGCGCGCCACTGTGTAAAACAGTCATCCAGGGATCACACGTCCTGATGTAGACCGCACTTGGTCAGCTGCATAAAATCTCAGTTGGCGTTTGGCGAACACATGTCCAGGAACGCACACGCACAGCTGGATACGGAAGACCAAAAGGGCCACGTTAGACAAAGGGCCATCACGTGTCGCACTCCCACTCCGTTTGCAAACCGTCTCCTCGCAAACCCCGTATCAACAACCCAGCCTCGGCAACAAAGCCGCACGCGCCGCGCACAAGCAACGCCCCCCGCCCGCATTTCTTCAACCCACCTGGGTGGGCGGGATCATGACTAGGGGCGTGGCCACAGGGGCGGGATTAGGCGAAGAAATCCCGGTTTGTGGTCGGGGCCGGGCTGCGGCCTCCCAGGCAGTTTACCATCCGTGGGCGGGGCTTCGCGGCCGGGCGCTCTCGGTGATTTGCTTAGGGGGCCGTCGCTGGCTGCGCTGCAATCTGCCGCACTCGCCTTGCCTGCGCGGCGCGTCCCGGCAGATGCAGCTGCAGCAGGAGCCGCCGCCGCGAAGCGCCCTTTGCCTGCAGCGACCGCGCGCGACGCCACGCCGGGGCTGCTGCCCTTCTCCCCCGCCGGCGGCGGCCGCCTTCCCCTGCCCCGCGCTCGGGGTGCGCCTGGGATGCCTTCGGGCTGTTTAGCAGCCGGCGGCGGCCGAGGAGCTTAATGGAAGCGATGTCCCCACAACAAGACCACCTCGGGCAAGGGCGCTCCTCCTCGCTGACCGGAGGCTCCCGGCTGTCTGCAGGCTCCTCCGACGGCAAGAAGGTGAGCGAGATCGGTCCTTTGCGCGCCCTCTCCCGGGCAAGCTTTCCACCCCCGCCGCCGGTGGGCATTTCTTGCTCCTCCGTCCCTGCTCCGCGTATGCAGCGCGCTCCTATATCCGGGCCCGTTTACGCGGGAGTCAGTCGTCCCATTTCCCATTTCTAGCGGTCCTGCTGCTCCCGAAGAAGCGCTGGGAAGTCCGCCGCTCGGCACGTTTCCTGGGCACCAAGCCGCTGAGGCATGCATGGGGGGCTGCCGCCGCCTGTCACCTGGGCAGGAGACAGGCAGCAGGAGCTCTCCGTGACCCGCGTCCCTCGCTCCTCTGTTACGTGCCCCCTCTCGCCACCCGCTCCCTCCGCGCTGGCTATTCCGGGCGGGCTTTTCCGAGGATTCCCACTAGCGTCGTCCTCCTCCTCCTCCTAGGGACGGCGGTGGAATTCACTCGAGGACGTGGGAAGGGGAAGGCGGGGAGCGAGCTGGCCTGTGCGGGTCTGAAAGCCCTTTGCCAGCTGCAGCCCTGGCCGGACACCCTGACCTAGCGCGAAGCCTCGCGGCAGCCAGAGCAAAAAGAGACTCTCCGCCCCGGCCCTCTGGAGGATCGCGCCCCGCTGGCGCAGGTGGTCGTGACGGAGGGAGCCGCTCTCACGGCCACTCTCGACAACCCCCACCGCCTCTGTGGCGCGTCGTGTCCTGGAAGGGCGCAGGGAAGGAAACCTCTGGCGGGGGGGGGGAGAGACGCCTCCCCCCCCCGGGCTGTAGTGCCGCATGCGCGCTTCGTCCCGCCGGTCCGGGCTCTGCCACCACGGTGGCTCTGCGCGCCTCGAGGAAGGCGTTTGCGCTTCCATGCGGGTGATTGATGGCCATTCTTCCACTCCTTATAGGTAACCTCCCACTCCTTGCTGGCCGCCCAGCTGCGGCTTCTCGATATAGACTGCTGCTCCCCCGGCTAACCCGCGAGAGTCTCTGGGGGGCTCCGGGCTGAAAGTGGGCGTCGCTGGGAACCGCAGATCGTCGGGGCGGGGGCGTCATTTGGGGCTGCCGCTGCTGGATCTGTTGGTTACTGGTGTGGATTTTGGCTTCCGTTGACCTACGGAACCGTGCTTTAAATGGCAGTGGATCGGAGCATGTGGGGCAGTGCTCCTGCCAGGAAATCACTGGGGGGGGGGGAATAACACAGCCCCAACCTAGGTAAGTTTACAGGGGAGCAAGGTGGGTTGGGTTTTGCTTCCAAGAAACTGTGCATCGGGGCTGCTGCACTTTGCCCACCTAAGTGTCAGAAGCACTTCATAAACCTTAGCTTGATGAATCGCACAACAGTCCTGTAAAGTAGGCCGTATTAATGGAAGAAGGTGATTGATTGATTGTGTCTGGCCTAAGTAGGTGAATTTGTGGTGAAGAGATTTAAACTGGGGGGGGGAGAAGCTTGGCTCTTGGTGCTAACTGCTGTGCCACTGAGCATAGATTGTCTCATCTGACAACTGAATGGCTTTAAGTTTTGTGGGCAGCATGTACTTTCTGGATATATGCATGGTGGTGCATTGAATGGCAGCTTCCCACTTCTTGTACACAAAAATGCATGCATTGACTGCCTCTCATGACAGTCTACATTAAGGGATCACACAACTTCCTGCAGAGAGGCGATGACCCGTGTAGGAAACTTTTCCTAGTGTGCAGCTGCCTTCAGAGGATGGCAGTTGTGGGAATCAAGTAGCTGATCTGTAAAAGGGGGTATATCGACTCAGATCTTCATTCCTGC